AAAATCCCCTACTTTTAGTTGATTAACTCTGACCAACCATTTCTTTAATGTATGTTATTAATTATTATTATGAAATAATTGATTTATCACATATGAATTATGATGTATATTATATTAATTCGGATAGTCTCAAATAACCCAACAATTAATAAAATAGTAAGAAATAGAGATGAGGAGAATGAATGTAAAAATAAGGATATTGGTCATAGAGATAAAGTTATATTAAGACTATGTAATACTATTACAAAAGAGTGAATGATGATGTCTTAATGAGACAAATATGAGTGTTTTTATACTAAACCGCGCTCCAATCGCTCCCGCAAGAAAAAAAAAGGCGAGTAGTTTGAAGAGCTCGGTCTTGGACTTCCTCAAGGCGTCGAGCTCAGCCTTGGATCTCCTCAAGGCACCGAACTTAAAGTTTCGCCTTGGACGGTGCCGAGGAGCTCGCGCATGGGACCTCTGAGGTGCATTTGGCTTGGGACTTTCGAGGTGCCAAGCTCAGAATTTAGTCTTGGGTCCAAGTTTTGTAAGTGATTGTTATCCACAAATAAAATGAAGAGACGAAGTCTATATCTTAAATTACTCCGTATTTAATTATGAAAAAATGATTTTGTAATATGGATCCAACGTGGCATTTGACGATGGCAATGCGGTATTCCATGTAAGATTGACAATTTGCCACGCCTATAGTAATCCTCAAATTTTCATTCTGTTTTCTATTGTGTTAATGTTTCTTTCTTTCTTTAGTGCGACTTTCTCTAGCTGCGTTGAAGGATTTGGGGGTGGGGGGTGGAGAGTGGGGGCGGGGGTGGTGGAGCCCATACTGGTCCTCATCTTTGCTGGCTTCAAGCTCTCCATGGTTGGTTTTTAATGGGGTTTGTCTGCTGAGAGAGACCGGAGTTTCAGTTGGCCCAATCCAACCAAATTACATAACCACCCAATCGCGCTCTCTCTCTCTTTCTCTCTCTCTCAATTCATAACTCCTTTTTTTTCCACTATCCTCTCTGAATTATCTTCCATCACTCCGCCATCGTCTTCACGCTTAAAGTGAAAGAGGAAAACGTTTCCATCAACTGCACTGCCGGCGATTCTTGATTTGATTGGATGAATCAACAGATCTAAAATCTTCCGCATTCGGATCTTCTCTATCAATTCCAGAGGTGATTTATTTTTTATTTTTTTTTAAATTTAATTTACCACGCATTTGATTTCAGGGTTTTCGTTGTAAAAGTCGGAACTTCTGGATTTGAACTGTCTGACCGAACAGTTGTGATGTTGAAAAAAGTGAATTTTGGACCCTCTTTTAATCTTAATTTTAGTTTTTAACTGGTTAGAAGTCCCCACCCCACCCCACCTTTTGTGTGGCCGTTGAATTTTTTGCGATGTTTTTTGCGGCTGTCTTAGTCATGATTTTTATATTTAAGAAGAAGAACCAGAAATGAGTTTTGCATCTTTACACCGTCCCAGTTGGAAGAAATGTAAAGTTGATTTCCTCAGCTGTATTTGTTTATCATTTGCAGGATCGCTTCATTGGAGTTGAGCTCAAGGTTTTCCATTTCTTTCGCTTTCCCCTGTTGTCGATATTGTGATTGGTTTGTAGTAGTGCACAGTATTTGAATTTTGGGTGGAGGAACATCTGCACTGCACAGTTGAAAGCTTATCTGTCCACTATTAAGCCGCGTCCTATTAGATGAGACGATTTTGGAGGGTGGTTTGGGTGAGATGAGGGATGTTATCTGGGTTGATGAACTTCTTGAGGGCCTGCTTCGGGCCAAAGGCAGATCTATACGTCCGCTCCAGTTCTGATGCTGCTGGTCGTCAAGACGGGCTCTTGTGGTATAAGGATACAGGCCAACATTTCAATGGAGAGTTTTCAATGGCTGTAGTTCAAGCAAATAATCTGCTTGAAGATCAGAGCCAGCTTGAATCCGGCTGTTTGAGTACTCAAGATTGTGGACCATATGGTACCTTTGTTGGAATCTACGATGGGCACGGAGGTCCTGAGACTTCTAGGTTCATCAACCAGCATCTTTTTCAACACCTCAAGAGTAAGTTTCCTGAAATGAAATCTGGATTTTGTTCTGTTGAATTGAACTGCCCTCATAAGTGTTAATGTCGTTTTGCAGGTTAGAATGAATTAAATTTCTTTCTTATTTTGTTCACTATTACATTAAGTAATTGAAATGTAATCCCAGATTGAAAAGCTTATGAAGATGATTGTATTTCAAATCGAATATTCTGCTTATTATGTAGTGCTCCTTACCAATATGACTGGTTAAAAGATTTAAGTTTCTTGTTTGGGCACTTTCTCATGATTGTTTGGTTTTTAGGTCTTGACGCGATTGCTTCTTCTGATTATGCAGGGTTCACTTCCGAGCAGCAATCTATGTCAGTGGAGGTGATCCGAAAGGCATTTCAAGCAACAGAAGAGGGCTTTACCTCTGTAGTCTCCAACCAATGGCCCATGAAACCACAGATTGCTGCTGTGGGATCGTGCTGCCTTGTTGGAGTAATCTGCGGTGGAACTTTATACACTGCCAACCTCGGGGACTCCCGAGCTGTTTTGGGGAGAATTGTCAAGGCAACCGGAGAGGTACTTGCTGTTCAACTTTCAGAAGAACACAATGCAAGCGTTCCATCTGTAAGACAAGAGCTGCAATCTTTGCACCCAGAGGACTCACAAATAGTAGTTTTAAAGCACAACGTCTGGCGTGTCAAGGGCTTGATACAGGTGAATTTCGTTCAGTCTTGGTAGTTTATATTGTGCATCTGTCCAGTTTTAAGTATCTTTCTACTACTGTCATTGATTTTGCTGCCAGGGAGGCTACTGCAATATTTTAATGTCTTTGCAATCACGACTTCCCCCTTTTTGTTTAAAATTTCTATCTGCCAGGCTTGTTACAAGTCACAGGACTTTTCTTTGTAACAGAATGAATTGGTGGAATCCAATTTTTTAAAGGTTCCTCTACCTTTGGATCTTCTGGGACTCACCCTCTAACTTCAAAAGTAGCACATTTGAACTTGGCCAAAAGTAATATCCTCAGAAGATGCTTATGGTGATACTTAAATGTGTCCAAAGAATCTATAAGATTGGTTTTGTGAAATATTCAATTTGATCAAGCCATTTCCATTATACTTCAAAGCTTTTTGGTAAACAACACATGGTTCTGTTGCCTAATTCCTTTTATGGAAAATATCTCAGTGCCTTTTGATTCGTACTGTTATATACTTATATTCAACTCATAGTGTATCCCCACTCTCTAAGTAAGTCTTCCCAACAGAATGAGCTTCCTTTCTGGGAATATAGGAATTTCTGATGGGAAAATGCAATTGTATGCTCTGTATGATTTTTCACCCTTACTGTGAAGGGTGATACTGACTATGTTCTGGTTCGGATCATTGTATCCGTGAACTGAATTGAAATTTGATTCTATAGGACTCTGATCACTAACAAAACAGAATCCGTGATGCAGATCTCAAGATCAATTGGTGATGTGTACTTGAAGAAAGCGGAATACAACAAGGAACCTCTATATACCAAGTTTCGCCTCCGTGAACCTTTTAAAAAGCCCATACTGAGCGCAGATCCATCAATTTCTGTACGGCAATTGGAACCTGACGATCAATTCATCATATTTGCATCAGATGGTCTTTGGGAGCACCTTAGTAATCAAGAAGCCGTCAATATTGTCCAAAACAACCCACGCAATGTAAGACATTCTATTTTCATCTCTGGGAAGAAGTTAATTTTCACATTTATGATAAAAACAAGTAATGCTTCTGGGCATGCATGGTTATGGTTGATTGGTGTATTACTGTATACACTAAACTTACTTACAATTCAACTTATCTATTTTCAGGGGATAGCTAGGAGGTTAGTGAAAGCTGCATTGCAAGAAGCAGCAAAGAAAAGGGAAATGAGGTACTCGGACTTGAAGAAAATAGAGCGAGGAGTGCGTCGCCATTTCCACGATGACACCACCGTGATTGTTGTTTTCCTTGACTCAAACCTCGTGAGCAAGTGTAGCTCAATCAAGAGTTCTAACCTGTCTGTGAAGGGGGGCGGCGTGAGCCTGCCTCCAAACAGTCTTGCTCCTTGCGCCACTCCGGCTTAATTTAAAGCTTGGCCAAAGTCCGTCCTGTAATGTTTGTTGTACTATTTTTTCTCTCATGAATACCAGGTATCCTTTTTAAACGTATATGATCAGGCCAACAATTGTTTAATGTACACTGTAACCTTTGACACCAACTAATCGTTCATGTTCTATATTTTGTATTCGAAGACTCAAACATTGACACAATAGTTGGATTCCAGAATTGATTGAAGAACAACAAAATGGGTAATCAGTCCAAGATCAATGATAAGTAGTGTTAGAGTTTTGCAGTTTTCTTGGCTCTCACACACAAATTTGTATTCAAATGCAAAATTTCTCATTGGCTTGGCTCCAGAACAGAAAAGCAAATAGAATATGATTCTGGGCAGGCCAGTGGAAGATTGAAGCTCATTGAATTGGATTTGTATACCTTAACACATTTGCTTCAGCATATCCACGTCCACCCATTGCAATCATTACTGGAGACGAAGCTGAAATCTTTTTTTTTTTTTTTTTAAATATGATAACCTTCACGTCAGCAAACTAACAGCTAAATATGTCACTTTTGGTGGTTCAATTGTATCATTTGGCCCAATTGTATTTCTTTTTTAGTTCAATACCTAATTGTATTCAGTCTTTAATTCTAAATTTAATTTTGATACTCAAACTAAATGCTCCTCAGTTGAAAGTATAAAATGAAATAGTAAGTGAGTAGTACAGTACTACTTTAGTAATTATTATTAGAGAATGCTATTCATCCCTCCAATTTTTTCCTCTCCAATTTTTCTCTCCTTACACGGCATATTTTAATTGGGCAATCAATTTTCTTTTTAATTAATGGTGAGGTCACTCAATTCACGAGTTTGTAGAAAAAAAAATATCATTTTCCTTATTATTATGAAAAAAAATGAGGGGAAAATAAAATAAAAGGACAGGCCAGAATTCAACTAAACATTGATTATTATGTGCAGTGATACCTGCACCAGAAACCGAAGATTGATCTCGGTCTTGAGTCTTGTGTTAACCAGTGCAGCAGATACAGAAAACGAAAAGAAAAAGAAATGTATGCTTTGCGGACGGTTTTGGCTTGCCACCCGCGTAAACTGAGAAATGGATTTTATTGCCGGGCAGTGGAGGATCAACCTGCAGCTCAATCCAACCAACGCCCAAACAAGAAGAAAGTTGTCGTCGTTGGGTCGGGCTGGGCAGGTCTTGGAGCTGCTCATCACCTCTGTAAACAAGAGGTACGCTATATATCATGCCCCGTATATATGTGTTATTATATCCTTAATGAAGTACAGTACAGTTATCAAGAAAGCAAGAACCTTTATGCTAAATTTCATGTGTAGTGAATGATATTTGGTTGGGATTTCAGTGCTTTGACGTGATGGTGATCGAAGGCGGATATGAATTTGGACCCAAGAACAAGTCTCTTAGTCCAGACGATATTGGTATTCAAGGTTAGTATCATTTTCTTGAATTTAATTACTTCCATGTTGAGGAATTCCAGCAGGTTTGGAAGCTCTAGAGATTATTTATTTATTTATTTAAACACCCGTTCAAAGCAAGAAGGCTAATAGGTCAGAGTCGAATTTGTAACCTAATGGTTACTAAATCATTAGCCCGACCAACTTGGTTGGTATTGCCCCATTTTTCTGCTTTCATGGATAGGAAAATTGACTAAAATGGGAAGAATAGGTTTGGCTTGGACAAAAAAAGGAAGATTTTGAAGTTTGGATAAAAGTGGGTAAAACTAATTTGGAAAATGTGTTTATGGGTCAATTGATAGAGCTCTGAATAGCATTCAAAATAGTGTTAGATTACTATGATGTCTCATTGGATCTTAGTAGCATGTCTGTATTGTTTTCAGGTTTCTGGTATCCTTATAGGAATGTATTTAATGTTGTTGATGAGATTGGTATCACACCCTTCACAAACTGGATCAAATCTGCACAATATTCACAAGAGGGATTGGAGGTAAATTTTTACTACTATTCTCTCGATAGTTTGATGCTATGGCTATGCACCAAAATCTGAGAGTTATTAATTGTGGGCTTGTGAACCTTTCAATTCCTTCCTTTTTCTATAGTTGTTTGTCATTCTTCTGCTTTATTATTATTTTTTCACTGTTGGGTTTGTTCTTACTATCTAAAGAGTTTGGAGCTAATAAATTTATCAATAAATGTTTGTCTAAATTTCTTCTATATGAAGCATTAGTAATCAAATCTTTAGTGTAATGGCTCATATGGTGAAACCTTTAAATGCATTTGAATGTTTTAACCATAAGATGTATCTTTCAGGTTAAATTTCCAATTTTTCTAAACGAGCGTCAGATGCCCACTCCATTTGGAACATTACTTTACAGTCAGGTATATTATATATGTTTCGCCAAAGCTCAATGAAAAGTTAATTTCCTTATTGTTCGACCCGAAAAACTAGACACTTTCTTATGGATTCTTATCTTATTTATGTAGTTTGATCGGCTTCCATTGATTGATCGGTTGACTTTGCTTCCTCTGATGGCTGCAAGTATGTTTGATTAAAAGATTCATCTGAATATGCAGGAGATACTTGTAGAGCGACTGTAACTTTTCTCGATCATGTATAAATATTCTTGTTCTGTTTGCAGTAGTAGACTTTGACAACACTGATGCTGCATGGAACAAATATGATTCGAGTAAGTGGACTTTGTGATATCTCTGATTTCCTTCATGGAGTTATTGCATTCGCAAGCAATAAACACATTTAGTCATTATTGTTAAGTTCCTTACATAGAGTACCACGTTTAGTTACTGCAAGGGAACTTTTGAAACAATTTGGTTGCTCCGAAAGACTCTTCCGGAATGTGGTTGGTCCATTGCTTCAAGTGGGTTTATATGCTTCAGCTGAGCAATGTAGCGCTGCTGCAACTCTTGGAATGCTATACTATTATGTTCTTGCTCACCAGGTTCGTTTGGTTCCGGACAAATTGTGCCTGGAAAAGTTGCACTACAAAGATGTCAAAACATTGCAATTTCGAATACTTTTCCTTTTTATGCGTTATAACTTTTTTCTTTTTTGGGGGATTTTTGCAGAAACATTTTGACTTTGTATGTTGTCGTGGGGGAGTTAGAGAAAAAATATTTGAGCCCTGGATGGAATCCCTAAAGTCCCAAGGTTGTAAGTTCCTAAAGGGTAAAAAAGTCACCGATGTATTGTTAGATGAGAAATCAGGTCGTGTTTCAGAAGTAGTTTGTGAAAAAGAGAGCTTCAAGGCTGATGCTATAATACTAGCTGTTGGAGTCTCCACTCTGCAGGAAATTATCCAGAACAGGTATTTTTCATCTAAAACAACTGCCTTTAAAACTTGCGTTGTTTTACTTTCCGATTATTTATTCAATTAAGAAAAAAAATTTAAAAAGAGAATAACTAAGAATTCTAGGCATTCAAATTTGTGAAAAGGTTAAATGGAGAAGTAGGTTTTGACTGTAAGTTTCACCGAGGTTTTTTGTTTACAGTGCAACTTTATGTACAAGAGAAGAGTTTCTCAAGGTTTTGAACTTGGGCAGTATTGATCTACTTACTGTTAAACTGCAGCTCGATAAGAAGGTGCACCCTAAAATTTTTATATAACAGTTAACCAGTTTCTGCAAAAACTGAAATGGAGTTCATATTTACTGTCTTTATGTTCGACCAGGTGAATATACCGTATGCAAGCAATGTCTCTTCTGGATTTGACAATTCAAGCGCATGTGCTTTTTTTGACTTGAACGCCATCTATGATGACTGTAAAGATAATCCATCCACGATGATTCAAGCCGATTTTGTGAGAACCCTATTCCTCTTTTGCATTTTATTCTGCTGGCTACTTTTTGCATCTTAATTATTTCTGATTTCTGTATACCATAATTTATAATTAGTGCAGTATCATGCCACCGATCTGTTGCCCCTAAAGGATGAAAGAATAGTCGGCAAAGTAATGTCTTGCCTATCAAACTGCATTAAGGACTTCGAAAATGCAACAGTGATTGACAGAGAAGTTGAGAGACTTCCAAAATCGTTGACTCATTTCTTTCCTGGTAACTCTCTATTTGTCTCCCGTATAGTTAGATGATTACTTGAAGTGCGGTCTTGTTGGGCGGAGACTGGTGAAGGGCCAAGTCAACACCAAGGTAGCTAGAAGGATTGTTGGGCGGAGGTCTGACGGGCCAAGTCCAGTACCCTGTCTCTCGAAAATGTGGCAGTATAAGGAAATAAACTGAGACTTTTTTGAAATATTGAATAGGCTCATACAAGTACATGATGCGTGGTTCGACATCTTTTCCAAACTTATTCATGGCTGGAGACTGGATCATAAACCGTCATGGTTCATGGTCACAGGTTGTAATTCTTGAACTAGTACATTTTCTCTTACCCATCACTTAAGTTCCATCATATATTCATATTGTCACTAACTATCTCCTCCATCCGTGAACTAAAGGAGAAATCGTATGTCACGGGACTTGAAGCAGCCAACAGGGTGATCGACTGCCTGGAAGAAGGAAGTTTCGCAAAAATAATTCCTCTCGAGGAAGATGAGCCTCACGTTGAAGCTCTACGCAGTCTTAACAGGAACATCAGCGAGATAAGAGGCCAGTTTCCATGGTCTACATTTTTTCTCCAGTGACACTTCTTCCTTTTGCTTTGATATTTGCAGTGGGGATATATTTAGCTGCCCATCAAAACCTCACATGATAGTATTGACTGTATTATTGAATTCATAGGCACAATGTTTCATCTACCATAGAAAAATATTTTCTTCTTTTATTGAGATAACTGTTGCATGTATGATGTACCCATCCTTGCTGTTCTCCTATTGTAAAAAGTAATGGAAATGATAACATAACCTAATGATAATCACTTGTAGGCATATGTTTTTGTTTTTTTAAAAAGAAATTATTTGTGTAAGGCATATTGTCTGGAATGTGTGCAAATACAAGTAATTTCATGGTATCTTTACCGAATCTTACAACACTTTATCATAATTTAAAAAAAAAAAAAAAAAAAAAAAAAAAAAAAAAAAAAAAACACCCAAGTTACTTAGTTGTGCTAATAGCTTCCATGAACCAGTTGAGTTGGTCACTTGGTCATGCAATTTGTTGGATAATCACAAAATTTTAAATTTAATTTTGATTTAAGTGAATCAATTATATAAATTTAGACTTATTTATGGCTTCCACACAAAATAGTGGGAAGAAAACAAGAAATGAAATGCTTTTGGTTTTGAATTATGACACTAGTGCTGTATTTGTTTTCTATTGGAAACTACCATTTGTACCAAAACTCACATTTTTTAACGTTGTTGTACCATGTCTGGTAGATATAATAATTTTCTTTTATAATTTTTTTTGGTACTATTGACTCAATTATAAGGTAGTATCTGTTCTATACTTTTTCTAACTAGTGCAGTTTAAAGAGTCAATACCCCACTACCGGGGTTCGATCATGTGACTTTTCCTCAAGGCGAGTCAAGGGGTGCTACAAATGTGTCATCTGAGCACAAGGTCTTTGACCTTTTATAATTATTGATCATTTATAAATTTACTAATAATATTGGCCATGTTTGATAAATAGTTAGTCTATCAGTCAATTTTGATTTATTTGACCACTATTAATTGTTTGGTTAATTAGCTTTTTGTAACTCCAAAATGCTAACATTCAAAAAGTTGTTCAAAGCAACTTTTTTAGTTAATTTTTCTAAAAAATAAATTATATCAAACAGCTATCAACTAACTGCTAATTTACCAAATACTTTTCTACAATCAACTAATGTTATCAATTAGTTATACCCTCTAATTAACCCAATTAACTAACAACTAACAACCATTTACCAAACATGGCCATTATGATTTTTTTTTGAAATATAATAATAATATTATGAATTAATAAAATGATATCATGTTAATATATACACCTTTTATTTCAAATTCTTTTTATGCAAGTAGTTTTATTAGGAAAAATGCAAGCTCAACTGTTCGCAGGGTGAATTTTGTCATAAGGGCACATGAACTTTTATGTAGGGACATTTGAACTTTTATATTATGGAGTAATGATTTTCAACAATTTAATTTTCACCTACTAAAAATAATAGAATCAATATTTTAAATAATTATGCCCCGGGGCTTAGCATAGGGAAGCCCAAAATTATGAAAGGTGTGGAATGTGAATTGGTCAAGGTTTGACTGATCCGATTATGCGACCCGCAATTTGTTCGGATGAAGTCATGTGAAATTAAGATTAGTCCGACAAAATTATGATTACCTAAATATTAAAAAATATTTTAAATAGTTTTTTTTTTCTATAAAATGTAAATTTAATTTCTTCTTAATTCTTTTTCATATGGCCCAATCCAACCAATGAAATTAATATCGTATATCTGTGCGGCTGTGCTGTGCTTGTGCCTGAAGGAAATATACGACGGTATCTTTTGCCAGGCCTCCCAATCGTGAATCTCGTGAAAGATAAATTAATGCGTAAGTACTCCAGCACCCTGAAAAATCGGTTTTTTTTTTTTTTTTTTTTTTTTAAGAAAAAAAATTCATTAAATCAAATCCAAAGATAACACATTATAAAGAGTTAATTTTACTAGAAGTTCTTTATCTTTTGTGACAGTTCTAAATTTATTCTCATGTTATTATTTTTGTCATTTAACATCCCAAAAATAATTATTTTTGAATACTTTTAGTTATTCTCATGACTTTTCTTATTTTCAGTAAGGGTATTTTTGTCTTTTTTTTTTGTTATTTTTCTATGTAACCTCTTATTTTTAATAACCATAATTTTCAACCGATTTTTAGTAAAGTTCTAAATCAATTAAATCTGTTGAAACCGGAAAAAAAAATAACAAAAGAAAAATATGAAAGGACACAAATGCACTTACTAAAATAGAAAAAATCACGAGAAAGACATTGCGAGCTAGTTTCCCACTCCAAATAATCGAGAGAAATTGTTCACGATTAAGAGAATATTTATAGTGCAATTTTAATATTATTATTTGTAGAATATAAGGATGCATGTTTCATGTACAATTCTATTAAGATTAAAAAAGAGTTAATTCCACTAGAAGTCCATTGTCTTTAGTGACAATTTTAAATTTAGCCCCTAATTATCGTTTTTGCCATTTTACATCCCAGACTATCGTTTTTTGGACATTTTTAGTCATTCTTATGACTTTGTCTATTTTTAGTAAGGGAATTTTTGTCTTTTCATATTTTTTTTGTTATTTTTGCGATTTCCAACCGATTTAATTGGTTTAGTACTTTAGGTAACTTCTGATTTTTAGTAACCATATTTTTCAACCGATTTTTAGTAAAATACTAAACCAATTAAATCGATTGAAATCAAAAAAATAACAAAAAAAAATATGAAGAGACAAAAATGTTCTTACTAAAAATAAAAAAAGTCATAAGAAAGACTAAAAGGGTCCAAAAAACGATAGTCTGGGATGTAAAATGGCGAAAACGATAATTTGAGACTAAATTTAAAATTGCCACTAAAGACAAAGGACCTCTAGTGGAATTAACTCATTAAAAAATATTTATAGTGTAATTTCGATCAATATTATTATTTAGAAATTATGTAAAATAATAACTAGCTAGAATTGTATTACGGATAAGAAAGTATTTATTCTGTAATTTTAATCTAAATTATTGCAACTTAAATGTTATTATTTGCATAGATAATGATGTATGTTTCATGTACAATTGTATTAAGGTTAGGAAATTATTTATAGTGAAATTTCAATCAATATTATTATTTGGAGATTCTGTAAAATAATAAGTAAAATTGCATTACTAGAAAAGTATTTATACTATTGTTTTTTTTTTAAAAAAAAAATTATTGCAATTTCAATATTATAATTTGAAGAAATACGGATGCATGTTTCATATACATTTGTATTACCGTTAGAAAAGTATTTATAGTGTAATTTTAATCAACATTATTATTTGTAAATTTTGTAAAATAATAAGTAGAATTGTATTACGAGTAGGAGAGCATTTTTTTTAATGATTCTTTTCCATTATTATTATTATTATTATTATTATTATTATTATTATTGTAAGTGTTTGGACTGGAAGTTGCAAAAGTAAGATTTTGTTTTTATTCTTCCAAAGGTTGAACCCCAATCTTAAGATTTTGTTTTTATTAATAGTATAGATATAGATAGTATAGATAGATTACTTTGCAGGAAAATATATGTATTGCATTATTAGGATTAGTAATTTTAATTTAGAATTGTATTACGAATAGGAAAATAGGAAATAATATATTGTATTAGGAATTATATTACCATGTACAACTGTAATACGAATAGGAATTGTAATATTATATAAACATTAATTAATAGTATAAGAGTGTTTGGGATGGGAAGTTAAAATGGAGAATTTTATTTTTTATTAATAAGTATAGATTGTTAAGAATATCTGTCTATTTCTAGCTAGTCATATTTTTGTAGAATTTATTATTTATTATTATACACTGGTAATTCACCAATTCGTTATCTCCTTGTCCATTGGATCTCATTTTCGTGTCTCGCTCTCGATCTGGCATTAGAGAAGAACAAACGAAAAGGTACTGTGATTTCTTTCCATCTCCAGATCCTTTTTCAAACCTTCGATTTTCAATCATTTGGTTCATTGAAACGCAATTCTGGATCACATGATTGGGCTCCTGCGTATCTCCTTATTCGTCAATAACTGCTTCTAACTTGTTTTCTCACTGATTGCGCCTATCACTGCTGATACAGAGTCTGTATGATTTGATATCTATTTTTCTTACTTTTTATTAGTCGCTTCCATGTTGAGTAAATCGTCTCTGTGATTTCACTCTCTGCATATATGCGAAGTGTAATCGTGTGTTTGAACTGAGCTAGGTTGATCGGTGTGATATGACGGAGAAATGTGAAATGTTTAGATGACCGAATCAAGTGTTTCTTACCGTATAATTTTGTATGATTGACTATTTGCAGTTTTGTTGGCTTTTCAGTTTCATAATATGGGTGTGGCGGATAACAGTATTGGCATGGAGGAGGGAACTCTGGAGATTGGCATGGGTGAGTTCTCAATTCTGCGTAGATATGAGATATAAGTGCCAGTTCTGATACTTGGAAACCAGAAACTTAATCCAGTATATAATCAATGATGGAATTATATTCATTGTGACTAACAAACTCAGTTTGGGGGGTTTGACTTTTTAATCAATTATGTATAATATCTTCGAAGATTATTCTTCAAATTCAATTAGAAGCATTGAGATGAATTTTGTATTGATATATCTTTGCAGAATATAGGACTGTCTCTGGTGTTGCTGGGCCGTTGGTTATCCTGGACAAAGTGAAGGTCATCATTTTGTTCTTTCGTACATTCTGATCTTTTTGTTTTTATGAGCTTCCTTGATACTTCTATGTGTTTATTATGTACTGGACTTTGAACACAATTGTATGATGTCACAGGGACCCAAGTACCAGGAGATTGTTAACATCCGTTTAGGAGATGGAACAACCCGACGTGGACAAGTTCTGGAAGTTGACGGGGAGAAAGCTGTTGTTCAGGTTACTTATCTTTAGCCATGTGTAACTAACACTTTCTAGGCTGCCCTTTGTTTGTTCTTTGATTTGTATTTTGTACTTAAAATTCAATCCTCTTAATTGATTATGTTCTCCTTTTTGTTTAACCAGGTCTTTGAAGGAACTTCTGGAATTGACAACAAATATACAACTGTTCAGTTTACAGGGGAGGTATACTATTTCTCCTTTCATATGTTATCTGTTTGTTTTGCTACAATAGAACCCAAAAACAAAGGAAGATTGCTTGTTGAACATACTTCTCTTCCTGGAATTCTGATACACACCCAAGGGATATAGGGTTGTTACTAACACACCCTCCAACAAGAGTTTTAGGCTCTTGTCCGGCTGCTACAGCTATGCTAGAACTTACAATAGATTATTGGATGCCCTCCTCTCTTGAGGAGGTTACAATTTATACTGCAAAGCAGAAAATAAATATAGTAAAAAGGAGAGAATTGAGAAGCTGATTTATTTCTGCCAGGTTCCATGATTTAAGCTTCTCCCCTGATCTGTGTGCTGATTGTTTGATTTGCCCGATTTGCTGTCCAGATTTCCTGATTTCCCTTCTTGTGTTGATTCCTTTTTTTTTTTTTTTTTTTTTTTGCGTGAGTAAACCACCCATTCCCTTGGGTGTGTATCAAATTCGTATGATGCAGAGGCCATGAGCATTGAGTTCAACCTTTTCTATAGAAGTTCAAATTAAAGATTATTATTGAAACTTGCTATAAGTTATTACATTCACTATCCTTTAAATAAGTCATGCTTGAAATTTTGAAAATTTTCTTGTTGTTTCCCTTATCTTCTTTGTTCTTCTTTAGCCAAACATTTTGTTTTGTTGTTCTGAGAAGCTCTGTGCCTATACTACAGGTTTTAAAAACTCCTGTGTCGCTGGATATGCTTGGCCGCATTTTTAATGGTTCCGGGAAACCCATTGACAATGGTCCTCCTATTCTACCTGAGGCCTACTTGGATATTTCTGGTCAGTAATTATGGTTCTGTCATATGGATTTAGTTATTATTTCTTTTTGTACTTGGATGTGACTAACTAGACTAACAACTTCAGGGAGTTCTATCAATCCTAGTGAGAGAACCTATCCAGAAGAAATGATACAAACAGGAATTTCAACAATTGATGTCATGAATTCAATAGCCAGAGGACAGAAAATTCCTCTATTTTCTGCTGCTGGACTTCCTCATAATGAAATTGCTGCACAGATATGTCGTCAGGCTGGTTTGGTGAAGCGTTTGGAGAAGACTGATAATCTTCTTGGTGTAAGTAGTCGTGTGCGAATAATTTACTGTGCAGTTTTGAGATGGGTGTTGTGCAGCAATTCATTGCACCAGTTTCTTGGTGGATGGGTGCTCATACTCTTGCTTGGTGACATTTCATAGTAATGTCACACTTAATTTTCTGCTTGATGTAACAGGATGCTGAAGAGGATAATTTTGCCATTGTCTTTGCTGCTATGGGGGTGAACATGGAGACAGCACAATTTTTCAAACGTGATTTTGAGGAAAATGGATCCATGGAGAGAGTGACCCTTTTCCTAAACTTGGTAATTTTTTGAAATTTACCATCGGCATGTGTAATTAGTTTGTACTCTTGGAATCTTCAGCTTGTAGCTTAAGATGGTGGCAATTTATCTCTGCTTTATGCTTTCACCATGCAGGCGAATGATCCTACAATAGAACGCATTATTACTCCCAGGATTGCTCTGACAACTGCAGAATATTTAGCATATGAATGTGGGAAGCATGTTCTTGTCATATTGACTGATATGAGTTCATATGCTGATGCTCTTCGTGAGGTATTTCATATTAAGTGCATTATGAATCTGCTATGTTTAATTCATTTTCAAGGACCTGAATGCGTTACTATGCCCTGGCCAAGTTTTCCGATTACCTTTCCTTCATTGCTGGTACAATGTAAGGGGTTAATTATTAATTGGTAATGCAGGTATCTGCTGCCCGAGAAGAAGTGCCTGGAAGGCGTGGATATCCTGGTTATATGTATACTGATCTTGCTACAATCTATGAGCGGGCTGGGCGTATTGAAGGACGAAAGGGCTCCATTACACAAATTCCAATTCTAACCATGCCTAATGATGGTAATATTTCAGTAATTGTTATTTCCTTTTTTTTTCTTTTTGAGTTTTTCAATTAACATTTTTCTGATATTTGAACAGACATTACACATCCCACTCCTGATCTGACTGGTTATATCACTGAAGGGCAAATATATATTGACAGACAGCTTCATAACCGGCAGGTAAGGCTGTAACGCCCTTGTACCATAGTGGCAAAAATTAGAATTTCATAATGGTTTAGTGCCTTCTATTCAGTTAATTATACACTTCAGGTATCAGCTAAGTACCTAAGTACTTACATACTGAGAAAGAACAGACTGAATGCTAATAAATACCTGTGCCACATGTGTTAAGGTCTTTTCCAGGAAGTGTGGCTCTTGTTGTTTTGTTGCTTTATTGTTTGCGTTCATGACCATAATAAATAATCATTAAAATTACTAATCATTTCTTTTGGACACGTGGTGGCTGAATTAGGTCAAGTTATAATGCCTAAAATGTAGCTATTGTCATGTGGCATACTTAATTGCCTTGTAACTTTCATCATATTAGCCTTGGAGTTGGCTTTGCCATTAGTAGCGTTGAAAATATACATGTTCTAAATGGATATTGTGCTAGTGAATCTCAAACAGTGTTTGTTTTCCCAAATGTAACAGATATATCCACCAATCAATGTGCTTCCATCTTTGTCTCGTTTGATGAAGGTAATTTCATATCTTTGGTTACTGTGCTCTACTTTATTATGTATTACCAGACGAGATAGAAACAAGCTCTTTTTTTTTTTTTTTTTTTCTTCTTCTTCTTCAGAGTGCTATTGGTGAAGGTATGACTAGGAGGGATCATTCTGATGTATCAAACCAGGTAAATATTAATTATTACTTATTAGTAAAATATGTTTTGCTGTTTCTTATCTACTGAAGCCAGTTAAGTTTGTTATTCATTCATGCCATCTTATTTTCTAGTAATTTTGAAATGTTTTGCGTTTCTTGACTTTTAGCTGTATGCAAATTATGCCATTGGGAAGGATGTCCAGGCAATGAAAGCTGTGGTTGGAGAAGAAGCCCTTTCTTCTGAGGACCTGGTATGTGTTCTGAAAAAAAATAAATTATTTGTGTACTTAATAATGATAAACTTGAAGGTAGAGATCTTAACAGAGAGCTGTTGTTGAACATAACAGTTGTATCTCGAGTTTCTTGACAAATTCGAGAGGAAGTTTGTTACTCAAGGAGCATATGATACACGCAACATCTTCCAATCACTTGATTTAGCATGGACACTACTTCGAATTTTCCCCCGTGAGCTTCTTCATCGTATCCCAGCAAAGACCCTGGATCTATTCTACAGCAGAGACACAGCTAGTTAAGGGTTAGAGAGCTTTGTACTCTAGATTATCTGCTGTGTGATTGCCTGCCTTGCTTGAGCGTTACTTTATGGTGCTTTCTTAGCTTGTCGATCTCTTTCTCGTTCAATAATAAAAGCTTTCTTATAAAATGAGTGTACGAGCTCTTCTACGGCGTTAAGACACACATTCATATTCTTTGAGACCCAGTTAAATTATGTAATCCGTTTCTTATTTTTATTTGGTTTGATTGTGACAGTCCATATGTATTAGTAGATTTTAAGTTATGTATAATGTTTTGAGTTTTTATGTAATAAATTTGAATAAATAATATAGTTTTTTAAGTAGCATCTAAATAATAAGTGGCGGGCTCGTTAATATTATGCTCCAAAAGTGTAGTTTGTAATCCGTTTCTTATTTTTATTTGGTTTGATTGTGACAGTTCATATATATTAGTAGATTTTAAGTTATGTATAATGTTTTGAGTTTTTATGTAATAAATTTGAATAAATAATATAGTTTTTTAAGTAGCATCTAAATAATAAGTGGCGGGCCGTTAATGTTATGCTCCAAAAGTGTAGTTTGTAATCCGTTTCTTATTTTTATTTGGTTTGATTGTGACAGTTCATATATATTAGTAGATTTTAAGTTATGTATAATGTTTTGAGTTTTTATGTAATAAATTTGAATAAATAATATAGTTTTTTAAGTAGCATCTAAATAATAAGTGGCGGGCCGTTAATGTTATGCTCCAAAAGTGTAGTTTGTAATCCGTTTCTTATTTTTATTTGGTTTGATTGTGACAGTTCATATATATTAGTAGATTTTAAGTTATGTATAATGGTTGAGTTTTTATGTAATAAATTTGAATAAATAATATAGTTTTTTAAGTAGTATCTAAATAATAAATAAGTGGCAGGCTCGTTAATGTTATGCTCCAAAAGTGTAGTTTATGGAGTTGTAGCATTTTTCAATTTCATAGCATAGAGATTTGTATTAAGGCTCTTTTTTTGGCTGAGTTTGTTTAGGAATTGCTTATTTTAAGCTAATAATAAATTATAAGCGCAAATTAAGTTAGTAGCTTAACATTTGTCACTTGTTACCCGTTGAGTTAATGAGTAAGTTATTTATACTTATTTAACTATGATTGTATCTTTAAAATCTATCATAAAATTTTATATAATCATATGAGTTCTATAATGTTTTGAATATGTGCTACTTTTAATCCTTTGAGTTTGTGACAACTAAATAGTGCTATTATTTTAAAAGTTGGGGTCCAAATATGATTGATTTAAACTTGAAGAAGGAAATACACAACAATAGAGGGACTAAAATTAAAATTAACTCATTTTATATGAATATCGAACTCCTCACTTTCCGCCAATTAAATTCCAAAGGATAAGAACTAATTTTGGCATAAAGTCTTAGATCATGTCAAAGTACTCAAATTAGCATGCATATAGCCTATTACTATTCTCAAAAGTGTACATAGCAAAAACATGTTTTCGTTAAGCTTTTGGAATGCCAAGGATAAAATAATAATTACACAAAAGGCCAAAATTAAGTAATCATTATGTTTTGTTCAAAGAAATACAGTTTAGATCATTACTTGGGGATAGGGGTCCATATTTTGATGTCATTCTTGATAGCACTGCTGCTGCAAAGAACTGTGGTATGAGGTTGAGATTCTATGCAATTTACGGCATTAAGACGCACATTTATATTTTTTGAGACCCAATTAAATTATGTAATTAATTTCTTATTTTTATTTGGTTTGATTGTGACAACCCCTATATATATTAGTAGATTTTAAATTATTTATAATGTTTGATTTTTTATGTAATAAATTTGAATAAAATAATATAATTTTTTAATTAGCATCTAAATAATAAGTGGCGGGCTCGTTAATGTTATGCTTCAAGTATAGTTTATAATTTGTAATATTTTTTCAATTTAATAGCATAGAGATCTATATTAAGGTTTTTTTTTGGCCAAATTTGTTTAGAAGCTTGCTTATTTTAAGCTAATAATAAATTATAAGCACAAATTAAATTAGTAGCTTAACGTTTAGCTCATTTGCCACTTGTTACCTGTTGAGTTAATGAGTCAATAAGTTATTTATACTTATTTTATATTCTCAATGGATGGTGGAGATATACTTGATCGTATAACTATGATTGTATTTTTAAAATCTATCATAAAATTTTATATAATCATATGAGCTCTATAATGTTTTATAAGATTCTATAAATCTTTACACTAAATTTTAATATGTAAATAATCTTATTTAAAGAAGGTATTTTTTTAGTCTTTTTATATTTATCAGCTCATCAAAAAGTACGTACAACTCTTCATTTTTCAGCTTATAGAGAGTACTTTCAACTACTTTTCAGCTAGATTTGTCAAATATAGCCTAAGACAAATAATATTTTAATAATTGAAGGATGTGTTATGCTTCACCATAACACAAATACTTGAGTAAACAAAAGAATTAATACATAATTTAGTCATTGATTATAGTATTTTTTTTTTCGATTTAGTTATAAACATTTTTTTTTGGGTGCTTAATTGCATCATCGATTTTGATAATTTTATTTAATTGTTCTTTAACAATTAGAATCAAGGACTAAATCGGAAAAAAAAACTACTATAGTCAAAATTACTATTGTTCTTTATAGTTGAAATTGATGACTTAAATTGAAAAAACAAATATAGTTAAGAACTAAATTGGGTATTAACTCGGAAAAAAAGAAGTCATTGGCATGATATACAAGGAGTTCGAATAGAGGCTGCGCAACTACAAAAACAATGACAGCAACATTGGGGAAAATAGGAGTGATATATGCTGTCAATTATGGTGCAAATCTGGAAGCTCACAACTAATGGAAAACCTTAGCCATCTTTTCTTCTCAATATACACTAGACAAGGCTGCAAAACCATTCCAATGAGCACAGCCATGAGGCTTATAACCATGACTTTAACGGAAGCCAGGGCCAACACCACAAGAATCAACAACGTTGGAGGTATACACATCAAGATCGACCCTCCTGTGCCCAATGGTATCTTGTATGGCCTAGATGCTGCAGGGTATTTCATCCTTAACTTCACAAATGCTATGAACTCCATGATCATCCCAAAACAGTATAAGAAGTTCTCGGCAGCCACAATTTCCTGGAAACTTAGCCATGACAGCAAAACCACGCCCATGGCGGAGAACAAAATGCCAATAAGAGGAGTCCCGTGGTGAGACCTCTTGGCGAAAAATTCAGGTAGCATCCCCCGCTCTGCCATGCCAAGAAGCTGGAACGAGTCGCTGCTCATCTCTGCCAAGAACATTCCCATGTTTGACACAGCAGAAGCCCCTTGAATCCATGATCTCAACCAAACTCCTCCAACTATCTTGGCTATATCCGAGAAATACCCATCGCTCCAAAGATCCCGGTCCACTGGTACAGCTCCGGTGCCAATGAGAAGGGGAAAGAAGTAGCCTGACACAACCAAGATTAGAGCGTAAAAGAGAGCCTTTGGAAGTGTTCTATCAGGATTCTCAACCTCCCCTGCAAGCGTACTGATGGAATCCCAGTAATTCAAATTCCAGAAGAGGGTATTCAAATAAAGACTCCAATCCACATTGTTCATGTCCACTGCAAGCCATCTAGAGGGCTCCAGTTGAGGAATTGCCACAAGTCCCATAACCAAGAACGGAAGGAGCGAGAACACTCCTAACAGTATCGCCACCCATCCTACCACAGTTAAGCCCCTAAAATTCAAGTAAGTGAGTGCTATCGTCAAAGCCAAGACCGCAATTATCCTAGGCAAACCATCAGCTAATGCTGGGATACCCGATTTCAGATAGTCCAAAAACAGCACAGGGTAGAGTGCATTATCAATAACACCACTTAGCCACTTCATCCATCCTTGCTGAAAGCCCCAATAGGGGCCCAAAGCCGACGTTACCCAGACAACATATCCTCCATTCTCGGGGAACATGGTGCCCATCTCAGCAGTTATCAAGGCTTCTGGAATGCTCCATATAAGTGGGAAGATCAAAAACCCAACAAGTGCTAAAAGTGGACCAGCTGCCTGAACACTATCTTCAACACCAAAAGGACCACCAGAAACCTCATAGAAAATGAGGAAAACAAGGGGAACAATCGAAACCTTCCTGAAATTCTCAAGCCTTGGAGAATTTCCTTCTTCGTTCAAACTCAAATATACAGATGTGTCTTCTCCTCCCATTCTGCAAAAACTCACTAGAATTGAATTTACCTCTGCAAATGTAATTTGGTGATAACCATCACACTTTTTTCCCTTCTTCAATCAATTATTTCATAATGGCACTAATATATAAATGCAGTGAAGTGGACTAATCATTTCACCAATTCAAAGCAGGAATTTCTCTAAATTTTCATGACTTTCTACTTGCACCAAAGCTATAAACACAAAGTTGGATGAAAGTTTAACAACAGAAAACTAAAAATCAATGGAAGTTTGTTGACATAAAGAAATGACGATGCAATTAAGCCAAAGACAAAAAGAGGTCTGATCTACGCAACACAAGTGCATTAATTACTGCTTCCTGCAAACATCATCGTAAACACCTAAACAGACACATCTCTACTGATTAAGGTTTGTTTTGGCACATGAATTGAAAGAGATTGAATGCATCATATATAAAGGTCGGTCTAATCTTTGGAATAAAAATCAGAAAATAAAACGAAATAGAAAGAATGCATGAAATTGGGGTCCAAAAAATTACCTCAAGATCGAACGGGATTATTATTATTATTATTAATTGAGCTAAAAGATGAAAGTGAGTGTATTACACCAAAGCAGAAGGATGAAATGGAGAAAGTGTAAACATAGGATCGGAAGGGAGTGAGTGAGTATGAGTGCGAGTACGAGTCATCAGCGTACAAAGCCACGAGTCATTCGTGCTGAGCACTGAGCGTCGAGTGGGACCCCCCTTTAGTTTGGTTTTAATAACACGTGGGAAGTAGTTGATAGGGAAAAGTTCTAAAAAGAGTTAATATCCAAAATCATCCTCGACTATAGTGGTTTTTCTCAATTTCGTCCTAAACGACTTTGGTGACCTAATATCGTCCCAGATTTTTGTGTTTTGCTCAATTTAGTCCCAGACTTTTGTGTTTTTGCTCAATTTAGTCCTACATTTGTTATTTTGTCTATTTGGTGTTAAATAAATAGACAATTTCGTAATTTTAATATTGGCATCTCTTTACTCATAGACATGTGAACTGCGAAATCTTTTTTTTTTTTTTTACGAATTACTCTCAGAATTACTCCTAAAACTGCAAATATAAAATTTGATTTGTAGGTCCGGGAGTAATTCTGGGTGTAATTCGTACAAGAAAGATGAATTTC